GCTTGGTTCCTGTTCCCGCTTCGCTCAACACAAATCGTTCGCTACGCTCCGCTCACGCCTTCGTTCACGCTCAAGCCGTCGCCCACGCCCCGAACACACACGGTAAGGTCTTCCAGTGCTAGTGTCGCAAATCGCCGTGGTCCTTCGATTCGAGTTGTGATGGCGACTCGCCATTTGTGGGGGCGGGCCGAGCCAGGCCGGCTCCCGCCATGTGGAAAGCCGCCGCCGCCCCCACAACCAGCCCCGCCCCCGCACGCTCAGTTGCTGTTCACGCTTCGCTCGAGACAAATCATTCGCTCTGCTCTGCTCACGCCTGCCTTCACTAGAAAACGTGCACGAGCGAGGACACGTGGGCGTGTTCAAGCCCAGCCCACACACCGAACACGCTCCCCTCCCAGACACCGCTCCGCTCACGCACGGCAAATTCTTCTAGCGCTAGTGTCATCAATTATTGTGACCTTCGATTCGAGTACCAATAGTGGAAGGACACTAGCTAGAGAGCTAGATCGAATTCAGCCGTTGTCTGGAGGAGAATTCTAGCGGCCGGCTGCTCTGATCGGTAGTTTTCCGTTGTTTCTCCGACCAACAAAAGGCGAATGCCGGAGCAGTGCACTAACAAACAGCCACGGACCGCGCGCGATATTTCCTTCCTCTTCCTTGTCCTATCCTCATCCATTACTTACAATTAGACACACACTTATGTGCATTACCCAACAACAACGTGCCGGAACTTGTTCCTGTTGACGCGATGCTCTGCGGGGGGCGGTATCTGCGGGGTGTTGGGAGTGGGGGGAGGATTCCCCTGCAAGCCTAAGTTTAGGTCGGTTCTGGATTTCACCATCCAGCAGCGGAAGAACGCCTCTACCTCCAGGGATACAAACATACTTGAAATAATCTTGGCTGACCGGGTGACGCCCGGCAAAGCCTGTGGTGTCAAACAACATCATTTGCCGGACTAGCAGCGTAAACCTACGACTTCATAAAAACATTCACTATGCTAACGTGACTAATTATTGCAGTTGTTGTCGTACTCGGAAATATCAATCTTCGAGCAACCTCCATCCAATTACTCAGAAGTACATTGTTTATTTCATATTCACTTATATTTGTTTCGTTACCTGAAGCCACGGCGATAAATTTCCTGTATAAATAAGTCGATGTGTATATGACATTCATAGATATGTGTGGTTTCTATGTTCTGTCCAGAGGAATGGTCGTTTTTTGGGGAAATTAACGTTTGCTGCTTATTTCATCTCTTTCTCTAACGCATATATAAAATGCATATAGTTATTTGAGAACTTCTTGCCTGACTCGAAATACCGTGGAAAGAATTACTAGCCACTGCCTTTTGCGGTAACCCTCGAAGCAGGCCAGCCGAAAACTTTCCTACACGAGAACTTCCCGCGAGGCGAAGGAGTCCTCATGTGGAGAGGGTATCACCAAGTTGAATCCAACCTGAAACCAAGTTCAGGTGGCCCCCGGTGAGGTGTTGCCCCGATGGCGAAGTTGGCACACCTGCCCGCCACTTCCGGTTCCACCGCTTACTGTCGCGTCTGACTGCGGAGGGTAGACGCAATTCTTGGGAGCTTGGCAGAACGAACAGATCCCCCCCGAGAAAATTCCCTTTTGAAGAGGGAGGGCGGTTGGATGTCAGTGGTGGTAAGCCGAAGGTCGGAAGACAGATAAACTGTATTCGCAAAAAGGTATAATTTAAAACAATTAACGTAGAATCATTCTCGCTTTTAATACAGTAAAAAAATAGTCTCATAGGCTTGTGCAACTTAAAACAAGAAGTGGAAGGGATATCTACATTTTCTTTTCCATTATTTGTTTAGTCTTCAAAAGATATTTTTTACTAGTTCATAAATAAATCATACAAGGAGAATAAAATTTAAACTTAATTGATACGATTATTAAATACACCTGATTTTATTTCGAAGCAATTATTCCAGGTTGCCAAAAGTACCGAGAGTCTTCCCTAAATGTAAAACAACTCCTCACATTGTCAGTTTAAAAAAAGGTCCAAATCATGAATTTTACATTCTTAGGGAAATGAAAAAAAAAATTCTGTAACAATACGGGGCCTATTCAAAAATTTTAGGGGGCTATGTCCCGTTCCTGTGCACTTGTCTCCAAAAATCATAGAAAATGACAGACTTAAAAGTTTGACTTAAAAAAGTTTTTACGTCGGCCACCGACCCTTTCATTTCTGTCGTCACACGCTTTCCTCTTCCTTAAAACACCGTCGCAGCAAATTTGGAGATTTGTTGGCTTCAGTACGTTCACATCCGATTAGTTTCTTCGCAGTTGGTGTGGAGTGCTCGGGCACGAGCCCCAGTGAAATAATCAAGTCAGATTTCACGGCAAATCTCTGAGCATCGGGTCGTTAAAATAAAAACTTTGCTCTGCACGCAACAGAATGTAAGAGATGTGAACTCAAGTGTTCAAGACATTTTGTATTTCTAGGCAATTCTTTGATTCTGAATAGTTATGGCAATATTTAAGTGAAATTACAGAATCACGAATTCAATCTCCCAGGAGAGGTTTTGAATACTATATTGTTTAAAGTGGAGTTGAAACTACGCTAGGTTTATGGTACGTTGTTTACTTCAATTGCTCATAATTACCCAGTGTATGTATGAAGTGAAGTAAATAAATATCCTCGTTGCACTGTATCCACTATAGAAGACCTAACGATTATCATTATAGAATAATAAACTTCTTAGTTTTTTTTTGGAATGAAGTTTATTATTATCAAAAATTATAATAGTCAATAAAGGTTCGCTTTTGGGCTTAAAATATAAATTAGGTCGCTTTAGACCATGGAGGATCTACCTTCATTTGTTATTTGCCGACACATAAAACGAAAAAACAAAGCGGCGACATTTTACGAAGTAAAAACACAAATCTCACCCCCAGAAATTTGGGTTCAGACATCACCTTTGGCAGACTCACCGCCACCGCCATCTGCCTTCCAAAGCCCTACCATCCCCCAAATCGCCCCGCCCAC